GGAGGAGAGTCACTTCCCCTTCGCCCAGGACAGGGTGGTAAAGCCATGGAGCTCCATGCAGAACGTGGCGGATGGAAATGAGGAGAAGAGTGAGACTCCTATCCAAAGGAACAAGTACCTGCTCAACATCAATGTGGGTGGCAAATTGTTCCACATAGCTTACAAGGTGCTGGCCCAGTATCCCATCACCAGGCTGGGGAAGTTGGCCCTTTACACAGACCCTGGGAAGAAGCTGCAGCTCTGCGATGATTACTCGGTGCAGAAGAACGAGTACTTCTTTGACAGGGATCCTTCGATTTTCAACTACATCTTCCACTTCTACCGCAGCGGGGTCCTGTGGGTGATGGAGGAGATGTGCCCCAGTAACTTTGTGGAGGAAATCGAGTACTGGGGAGTCCATCTGAAATACTCCCAACGCTGCTGCCGGATCCTGTTCGAGGAAAAGCAAGATGAACTCAGCGAGTACCTGAAAATAGAGAAAGAGCTGGAGGCAGAACTGGAGCCTCTGGACTCAGGGAACCAGTTTGATGGCAAATTTCTGGGTAAGTTTCGGAAGTTGGTCTGGAACCTCATTGAGAACCCTTACTCTTCTGTCCCGGCCAAGATCATTGCTGTCATGTCAAGCATCTTTGTGCTCATCTCCATCGTGGGCATGACACTGAGCACAGTGGAGGAGATGAAAAACAAGACGTGCAAGATGTGGATGGAGCAGATGGAGATGGTCTGTGCCATCTTCTTCACCTCCGAATACCTCATGCGGCTCATCTCCTCCTCCAGCTTCAAGAAGTTCCTGCGGGCAGCATTTAACGCCATAGACCTGGTGGCCATCCTGCCCTTCTACATCCAGCTCCTCTTCGAGAACTTGGACGAAGGAGACACAATCTACCACGAGGAGCTGCACAAGGTGGAGAACGTGAGCAAGCTGGGCAAAGTTCTCAAGCTCATCAAGCTCATGAGGATCTTCCGCATCCTGAAGCTGGCACGGCACTCCACCGGCCTCCGAGCCTTCAGCTTCACCATGCGCCAGTGCTACCAGCAGGTGTGCTGCCTCCTCCTCTTCATCGCCATGGGCGTCTTCACCTTCTCTGCTCTCATACACTCGGTGGAACACGACGTCCCTGGCACCGACTTCACCAGCATCCCCTACGCGTGGTGGTGGGCAGCGGTAAGGCACGAGCTTCTCCTTCAGACGGGTGTGTGGGGCTGCCTGGTGCTGAGGGCACTCAGCACTGCTGCTGGCAGGAGGCAGGAAGGGCCCAGCCTTCCCTCCAGCTCAGAAAGGGGGGAAACCCAGAGCCCTGAGACACGAAATCAGAGGTTTGGACTCAGCTGGTGCTGCGGTGGGATGGTGGGACAGAGGTGGTGCCCTGGGAGCCTCCAGGCCTGGGGGATGTGGCAAGGGGGATGTGACCCAGCCCAGGTTTTATCTGTTGTGGGTGGATGTGGTTTGCCCCCCAGATGTGACCCAGCCCAGGTTTTATCTGTCGTGGGTGGATGTGGTTTGGCCCCCGTGGGTGTGGGGAGAGCTCCCCAGGGCAGCCTGAGGCTGGAGCAGCATTGCAGCCTGGCTGGGCTGGGGAGGCACAAGGGGGCAGAGCTTGTGGGGCTGAGATGGGGGACCCAAGGCTGAGTGTGGTCACACTGTGCCTCAGCTGTGCCCTGAGAGAGGACACAGACTGGGCAGCGCTGCTCAATTTTGCTGTCCTGCTCGTGCCAGGAGCGGCAGCTCAGCTGAGCTGAGCACTATAAGCACCTCTGAGACAGGAAGCAGCTAAAGCACTTGAGAGCCAGAGAGGTTACAGGGGCATTTGGATTCACAGACACTTCTGCTCTTATAATTCCCCTTGGCCACCACAGGCTACTTGCTCCAAATCCATCCCTCCTCAAGGAAGGGCAGAATCACTCAGCAACATCACCAGGTGTGAGCGTTTCAACGTCCCAGCCCGAGCCTGTCCTGGGAGTGCAGCTCCCTGCAGAGCCCAAACCTCTCTGCCTCAGCTCTCACCCTGACCCACAGCCCTTGGCCCAGCTCACCCAGAGGAGGTCATTCCTGGGCAGTGCCTGTTTCCCACCGAGGGAGGCTCCAGGAAAGCTTTGTTCCTGCTGGACAGGGCAGCTCAGGGCCAGGAAGCACTGGAGCCACAGCTCCGAGGGGGCAGGAAGCTCCGGCAGACAGGGAGTGCTGGGGAAGGCTCAGCCTGGGCTGCCTGTGGAGAGACACACACAGAGTGAGGAGGGAGCAGCACTCTGACCCTCTTGCTGCTGCTGGGGCTCGGCCCGCCCTTCCCTTGGCTCCCCAGGCCTGCCTGGCTGAGCAGGCTGCTGGAGCAGGCATGGCTGAGCTGGCTGAGCTGGTCCCATGGGATTTTAGGGATTTTTATCCTGTCCCACCCCCTCGCAGGTCAGCCTGTCCACGGTGGGCTACGGAGACACCGTGCCGGACACGATACTCGGCAGGATGGTGGCGTTTGTCTGCATCTCCTTCGGCATCATCCTCAACGGCATGCCCATCTCCATCCTCTACAACAAGTTTTCTGACTACTACGCCAAGCTGAAGGCCCACGAGATGAGCCAGTCCCAGCAGCTCGCCAGGAGGATCTGCCTGAAGGAGCGAGTGCTGCGGAAGCTGTCGGAATGCTGGAAAGCCGATCCCCGTTACCGCCGCTGACCCCACGGGCACGGGGCACTGCGTGCTGAGCCGCTGCATCAGGCACCACCTGCTCCTTTGGGGTTTGATTTCACTACACATATTATCATATTTTATTTTATTTCCGTGATTAAACTGTCCTTATCCCAACCCACAGGTTTTCCCTGTTTTCTGATTCTCCTCCCCATCCCACCACGACAGGGGGAGGGAGCCCAAGGGCTGTGTGGTGCTCGGTTGCCATCTGGGGTTAAACCACGACACCCACCTGCCCCAGCAGCATCACCTCTGGGCACCTCCACTTCCCCTCCCCAATCCCAGACCCCATCACTGCATCTCCCCACACCCCCCCACTGCCTGCTGAGGGTTCCCAGCACCCTCACTGCAGGTTGGCTGCTGGATCCTGAGGTCACTCAGCTTCCAAGGAAGGGGATGCACCAACCCACACACACAGCCCTGGGGACTGTGCTGTGGCTGGATCTTCACTCCTCCCCACGCAGCTCCCTCCCTCTCCCCGTGGGGTGTCTGCCAGCCCAGCCTGGGCAGAGTGCAGAGTGCTCAGGCAGCCCGTGGAGAACAGCACTTTTA